ATTACTAAATTCAGCTGTGAAAAGGGCAAATTTTTTCAATTTTTAATGCTAAGGCTTTAAATTAAAGGGTTAAATAGTTTTTCCTCCTTTTTTAATAATATTTAAAACTTGTTTTATTTAAAGTCGAAAATGAAACCCATTTTAATATTTAAAATTTGATAAAAACAAATATACACAGTTTATCTTGATTAATCTCATTAAAAATTTCCCTTTTTTATCTTTCTTGTTTTTTTTGTTTTCCTTGTGTTTATTTTTCCTTGACGACTTTTTTGTAGGTCTATATAGTCTGGTTTTTTAATTTGTTAGTTAAAAAAAATCTGATAAATTTTTGGATTCCTGGAATATGAAATTTCATTTCCTGTAACACATTAAAATAGGCCCTTTCTTTTATATATTACTTTTACTATAAAATACATAAACCTTAAGGAAACCCCTTGATACATCTAACAGTCCACTCTCTATATGTAAACTAGTTAAGTGAAACAATCCCCTTTCCCTGATCTTTATTTTAAACAAACCTCACTGACGTGTTAATAAATGGTTTTAAGCTCAATACAGAATTGGGCAAGACCCAGCCCTTTGCCGGGGGAAATGATGACCAAAAATGTCAAATAGGTTATTTTGCCGATTATCATTTTTTTCATTCCTTATCGTTATGTTTAGCATAAAATCAGCTTTTTCCCCTATTTTGCCCATGTTATAACGGGACCAAAACCATGTGTTAACCATAGTCACGCGCTCTTTGTTATATGAAAGCCCAAGCTGGTTTCACCTATAGCGCAATGTACAAAGGGCCCTAGTAAACAAAGCAAAGCGATAAAAAAATGACGTAGCTTTTCCGTTTTGCCAAGATTCGATGCGCTTTGTTATATTGAAATTTTAGTTGATTCGAGGGCCTCAGTCGCATTATTCAAGTAACTAAATGCCGGAAAAACGGCGTATAATATGACTCGAAGCGTGCTCTGAAATCTTGGTTGGCGCCACTTACTAAGAAACCACTCGTGGGACAGTTGTCAATGTAAAAACATAAGTAGCTTAGTAGAATAATCATACCTGTCATTCAGTTTAACACACTCTATAAAACTTAACAAACTGATAACACAAAAATAATGAGAAAATGTTTTTATTTATGTTAAATGATGTTGATAAATGCTCTTTTATATTTCTTTGATAGAATAATGCTTTAAGTGCCTGATTTTTTTATAAACTTTTTTTGCTTGAAAAAAAAAACCGATTTCTGGATGTCACTGATCTTTTTTCTACCGTCAATCTGAAATCATTCTAAGGAAGAATTTTCTGAGGAGGTCATGTTTTGTCTTGGGTAGAGGTAGAGTAATGTAACGTTTTTTTTCTTGAGATAAATAAATCTCCAAAGGCCAAGCTTTGTTAAATTAATTAAAATTCAAATTTCGTTCGGTTCGTTGTTGGCCCCGGAAAAATAAAACGCATACGTAAAACATAGAATTGGATAAATACCGTCCAAGCACAAGACCTTAATGTAATTTGTGTTTTGTATAAACTATACATCACAAATCTGTTTGAAAATTTTATGCTATAATAGCGTCAACGCACGTTTATTTTGTGTTATAAAGTCTGCAGAGTCCCTCGGAACTGTTGGAGCCCTCGCCCTACCGGGCTCGGGCACCAACCGTTCCTCGGGACTCTGCAGACGTTATAACACGGAAAAACGTGCGTTAACCCTATATAAATCCGTGCGAAAAGATGAATTAGACGTTTTAAAGTTCATTACATAAGGTGAAAATGTGAGATTTTAGCATTTAATCATTCAAGCTTCTTGTCCGGCATGTACCGGAATATGGTATTTTGTGTGGTGCTCCAATCCTTTTTTTAGTTTCATTAGTTATAAATACATGTAGCTCTTGTATTACTATTTTGAAGGCTTAACAGTGATATGATGCACTTTGCAAACAACAAAAAACTGTTTTTACAACGGAAAATAAAAGCTGAAAGCTGCTATAAGGTAAATGTTTTACCATCTTTCAATGGTGGAGGTAAGGCAGGACCATAGCTGTCTGATTCATCTGATACTAGTTGAGGTGACAGTCTAGAACTGAGAGTTTCCATTGGTTCTCCATTTCCTGGAAGGACCCCTATGTTAGACTCTGTTTGAAAAATATAATGCACAATTCATGATAAATTATTTCTACTTAAAAGGGTATATATACAGCTGTATGTAATGAAATATTTGTTAAACATTTGTAAATGGTAAAATCATTTGTTTCCAATAAATTGTACTTGAATATTAAAAAGAGTTGTAACAATGAATGTTTCTGTTAATTAACACACATGAATATTGTATGTTAACCAAATAAACTGTTCCAGAACAAATCAACATGCTGCTATTTTAAGTAGGGTTTTAACCATCTAGCAATGACAACAATTAAATTTAAGCAATGTTATCACACATACATCATTCGCTCTATGGAAATAAACTAACATATTTCTTTCATACAGGCATTTTGGAAAATCCTTTTTCAAAATTTAAACAATAATTCTGTAAACTGTAGGCCACAGATATATAGCTTTATAACTTTTTTAAGTTACATTCAAGGTTCAATTAAATAAAGTTCTTAATGTAAACTGTACAACCATCTTAAAATTTAATTCACATATATAACTTTATATTCACTGCTACTAAAATGAATATAAAATTTCAAATCAACTTAAGCAACATTTCAATTTAATATCATTCAATATTTCATGAAAGGTAATGAAGTTCAATTTCATTACTTATAATAGATAAAATATTTGTACACACTTTTCTTCTGATGATTTTTCTTTCATATTCATGTAATATCTTCATAGTTGACCTTACTAAAAAAGCAAAACCATAGACAAAGCAAGTCATTCATTTCAACAGAGTCAAAAATGTTACCTGTTGGCAACCTATCTCCCTGGGTGCTTAATCTATCATCTGCTGGTCCAGTCTCCATTTTTTCAGAATTATCCTTTGTATCTTCATCATCATGTACTGAACTATCCTTTTTGCTCTCATCTTCATCAGAACTAGAACTATCCTCTGAATCTGTATTTCTAAATATAGCTCTGAACAAATCCATGTTGGGCTCCCCTTCTTTCTGCAAGGATTTGGAACTTTTTAATTAATTCTAATTAATTGCAGTCAAAATACATGTAAATTAATTGGTTAGAATATGTTAAGGGATACATATTGATAGATGATCTCAAATACAACTTTGACTACCATCTGCAAGCTCCATGTATCTGGATAGCTTCTACACAAAATATACTAACATTTCAAAAATGGATTCTCACTTGCACGTTAACTAGTTTTCCGAATAAGTTTTTATTTCTCAAAAACTGTTTATTTTTGGTATATTGTTATAGTTTCAAAAAATTACTCATTTATACCACATATTTTGGCCCTGTTGGCAAGCGGTAAATCTATAGTGAATGAGTATTTTGTATGGAAGTCAAAATTCTTCTTTGTTTACATTCTGCTACCTTTATTACATATTACTGCACTTCCAATGCTTTTTTCTTAAGTTGTTAAACATCTAACATGCTCTAAGACTAAATGCATTATTTAACACATGTTCGACATTTCTAAGAAATTAAAAATATGGACTTCTAAGGCATAATTTGCCTTTAAGCAAAAAACTTGCATATTTAACAAATGCTAAAGGAACTTCACTAAAACACAAATAAGATATGCTCAAAACAAATCTTACATTTTCACTCGATTTTTTCAGAAGATCACTATTTTTGTCTTTCTTTGTTTCCTGACCTCCATCTTTCCTTTCGGATTCTGTTTCCATGGCAACAGGAATATTTTCACGTGGCTTCACAGAATCTTTTTCTTTTTCAAGATGACTAAAAATTGATTTAAACTCTTTGGGTTTATTTGATTTTGTTGACTTCACATTAAATGACACTGGTTTAGTATTTTTCTGAATATTGTTTTCTGTTTCGACTAAATGACTAAATATAGATTTCATGTTCTTGGATTTATTCAGTTCTTTCTCCACCCTACTTTCAGATGGAACACCCTCAGGCTGTTCTTTAGGAGGGTTGTGGGATGTTTCTTGATGAGATGATCTTTCAGTCTGATCTTGTTCCGTTGGGGTGGAAAAATTGAGGAAATTAAAAACTGAATATTTATCCCTCTTTATAGTTGGTAATCCAACAATTGTTGAGCTGAAAATATGAAATAAAAGTATTAATGATATATGCATTAAGATCTTAGTATATTTTTTTTCTTTACTTATAAATTTTCTTCACAAAACAATAAGGAAATAATGATACTTATATACCAAACAAAGCTATAGTAGAATGAGCTCAGACTTACCCAGGATAAGGGTGAGGGACATTGAATCGTTTACACACAAGTTTATCCGGATGCCATTCCTGGACGTCTCGTGTCAGTTTACCGTACATCTTCATAGATGCTGCCTTCCCTGCATCACTTGTATCCACCTGAATAAATTATACAACATGAATTCTTGGTAATAAAATAATTACAATATTGTATTTTCCCGTTTTTTTGTTGTTTTTTGTTGTTGTTTTTCAATAATGTGTCAATGACTGAATCTACGAATCCATTAACATAAAATTAAAAAAAAATTTGATTTGTTAAAGGAACTGAGGTCCAGAAGCTAAAAAACATGAAAAATTATTTCTTACAAAGATCAGCTGGGCACTTGAAACAGAAACATATGCAAATGATAATTACGAAATATAATAAGAAATATATTGAAAATCGTATGTTTATGCTATTCTGAGCCTAATTTGAGTGAAAAATGTTGCAACACTTTCAGTTTTAAGTCAATTTTCACTGTCAAAATAATTATTCAAGAAAAACATAGAGTGAGCAACTGATCTGAAATTTTGCAAACAAGTTATTGGTCAACAAATGGAACAATAATCTCGAAATAATTTTCCTGTCCCATTAAACTGTAAAAGTTAAAAATATATAAAGCCGGTTGGTCATAGTCTGCACTGGTCAAATAGGTAAATTCTGTGACACCAGCAGGCTACAGATTAAACGGACAAAATCCTAAAAACTTACCAATTCTTCACTCTTGGTATCTTTTGTATCATCATCAACATTACCTCCCCTTGTAAATCTCATTGCCATCATGCCCGCTAGGGGGCGGTACAATTTTGCTGCTTGATGAAACTCCTCCTTCTCATGCTCTGCCTCCCATTCTGTCTGAGCAGATGTCATGATGAGAGAATATGGATCTACAATAAAAATAAATATAATTAAATATTATCTATCTTACAGTAAAAGGACTGATGGATGAATTATAATTCATACAAATGTTTTATAAAACTTTAGAAAGATCCACTCTCAATATAACATAGTGTAAGATAAGAAGATAAATAATTATGTGATTTATCAAAATAAAAAGCAAACTCCTTGATAAACGTTGGAGGTTGAACATTTTGTGGAATAGAAAGTTATAAATCAATTGTTTCCAGGGTGAATATAAAAAATATTTCTAAAGAAATATAAATATGGCATTATTTGAAATTTGGCCAGGATATGTGTTATGAAACAGTAATATATCTGTCTCAAATCTAAAACAAATGAATATTCTACAGTGAAATTTCCAGAATTTTGAAAATTTGACATTGTTGGTCAATGTGATTTAGGTGTCGAGGTCAAATTTTAGTACATGTCAAAATAATGCTTCCATCGAGAGGTACGTTATGTCTAAAAGAAGAACCTTCTAAATTAGAGAATGACAATGTTAATTATGTTATAGCAAAGTTATAGTTGTCCACATGAGAAAAACTAACCAAACAAAATATATATGCCCCCTACTTAATCCCAATTAATCCATGTGGGGGCACCAAAAAAATAAGAAAAACAATATATTTGAAATATTATTTCTTACAGTTTTGGACAAATATAAAAAAGAAAAATTTTACATACATATTTTTTCACCCATTCAATTAAATAGTTTCAATATCATACATTTAGGAGAGAGGGAAAAAATGGTGTCTATGAAAACTATAACCTACAATGTTTTCAAGATTTACAATCCGACCACAAACCTTTATGTCCAAGCTTGACCAACTCCAAGTATTTATCATATCTTTCCTGTTTTCCTGGATCTTTATGGAAAGGTTTGAAACCACCCTGGAACAGTGGCACATTCTTTTGTCTATGCTCCTCCAATGCTGTTTTCTGTGTGCTTGATGATGAGGCGGTATCTAAAATCAGATATCAATGCAACACACTATTCTAATGACTTTTATGAAGCATATTTTATTAAAATAAAATAAGACAGAATTTCACACAAGCCTCAAATAACTTCATTTTCATGCAAAAAAAATTCTCTTGCAAAAACGCCCCATGCTGATGCAATACTCTAAATCTATGCAGTTTTCTATTAAATAAACAATTTATTAACTTAGAAAAAAAGAAAAATTACTCCATTATTAACTTCTTTCTTAATATTTTATAAAAACAAGAGCCACCGCCGGGCGGGGGCAACGCTCGACTTTTTACTTTTTCTAAACGCAAACATAGAAAGGTTTGAACATATATTGATGTTTCCTTTTTATAAATTTAGTTGGTCTGTCTTGTCACATTAGTTTTGTTTATATATTTTGTATATATATGAATAGAAACATTAAGCATATTTCTAAAAATAGCAACAGTACGCAATTTCTAAAAATAGCAACAATGACGCAATTTCTAAAAATAGCAACAATGACGCAATTTCTAAAAATAGAAAAAATGACACAATTTCTAAAAATAGAAAAAAAATGACGCAATTTCTAAAAATAGAAACAATGACGCAATTTCTAAAAATAGAAAAAAAAATGACGCAATTTCTAAAAATAGAAACAATGACGCAATTTCTAAAAATAGCAACAATGACGCAATTTCTAAAAATAGAAAAAATGACGCAATTTCTAAAAATAGAAAAAAATGACTCAATTTCTAAAAATAGAAACAATGACGCAATTTCTAAAAATAGAAAAAAAAATGACGCAATTTCTAAAAATAGAAACAATGACGCAATTTCTAAAAATAGAAAAAAATGACGCAATTACTAAAAATAGAAACAATGACGCAATTTCTAAAAATAGAAGAAAAAATTGACGCAATTTCTAACAAGAAACATGGCAATGCCATGAAACCAGGTTTTCAATTATCACCATTGTAGATAAATATGTTGTATTTGAAATACAAATACAAGCAACAAACAATGTAACTATGTGCAATGTAAAACATGAATAATGTAGGAGGAATTGCCACTGAAGAAGTGTTCACTATAATATTATGTATAAGGAAAAAAACAAAGGGCCATAATTAGGTCAAAAAACTATCCAATCACAAAACCCCGACAATATGTGCCAGGGTGCTTGATGACAAAGCTTCTGTGAAAGTTTTGAACAAAATCCGTTGAGAAATGTAGGACGAGTTCAGCACAGAAGAATTTGTTCACTATAATTATATTGATAATTCTGTATAATAAAAAACAAGTTACAAAGTAGACATGAAATAATATATAATATCTTTTTTAAATTACCTCCAAAGATGATATGACCTTTGACTGCCAAATCAAGTTTAAAATCATGTAAACAGGATTTTCAATGTTAATGTCACTGTGACCTTGACCTTGGAGCCAGCCATGCGGAACATGCGTTCTGCACGTCATCTTGATGTGGTAAACATTTGTCTGAAGTTTCATCAAAATTCTTCAAAGGGTTGAAGAGTTACAGAGCGGACAGGATTTTCAATGTTAATGTCACTGTGACCTTGACCTTGGAGCCCAGCCATGCGGAACATGCGTTCTGCACGTCATCTTGATGTGGTAAACATTTGTCTGAAGTTTCATCAAAAATTCTTCAAAGGGTTGAAGAGTTACAGAGCGGACAGGATTTCAATGTTAATGTCACTGTGAACCTTGACCTTGGAGCCAGCCATGCGGAACATGCGTTCTGCACGTCATCTTGATGTGGTAAACATTTGTCTGAAGTTTCATCAAAATTCTTCAAAGGGTTGAAGAGTTACAGAGCGGACACAATTTCGTTTGACAGTTAAAATCATGTAAACAGGATTTTCAATGTTAATGTCACTGTGACCTTGACCTTGGAGCCAGCCATGCGGAAACATGCGTTCTGCACGTCATCTTGATGTGGTAAACATTTGTCTGAAGTTTCATCAAAATTCTTTCAAAGGGTTGAAGAGTTACAGAGCGGACAGGATTTTCAATGTTAATGTCACTGTGACCTTGACCTTGGAGCCAGCCATGCGGAACATGCGTTCTGCACGTCATCTTGATGTGGTAAACATTTGTCTGAAGTTTCATCAAAATTCTTCAAAGGGTTGAAGAGTTACAGAGCGGACAGGATTTTCAATGTTAATGTCACTGTGACCTTGACCCTTGGAGCCAGCCATGCGGAAACATGCGTTCTGCACGTCATCTTGATGTGGTAAACATTTGTCTGAAGTTTTCATCAAAAAATTCTTCAAAGGGTTGAAGAGTTACAGAGCGGACAGGATTTTCAATGTTAATGTCACTGTGACCTTGACCTTGGAGCCAGCCATGCGGAACATGCGTTCTGCACGTCATCTTGATGTGGTAAACATTTGTCTGAAGTTTCATCAAAATTCTTCAAAGGGTTGAAGAGTTACAGAGCGGACACAATTTCGTTTGACAGTTAAATCATGTAAACAGGATTTTCAATGTTAATGTCACTGTGACCTTGACCTTGGAGCCAGCCATGCGGAACATGCGTTCTGCACGTCATCTTGATGTGGTAAACATTTGTCTGAAGTTTCATCAAAAATTCTTCAAAGGGTTGAAGAGTTACAGAGCGGACAGGATTTTTCAATGTTAATGTCACTGTTGACCTTGACCTTGGAGCCAGCCATGCGGAACATGCGTTCTGCACGTCATCTTGATGTGGTTAAACATTTGTCTGAAGTTTCATCAAAATTCTTTCAAAGGGTTGAAGAGTTACAGAGCGGACACAATTTCGTTTGACAGTTAAAAATCATGTAAACAGGATTTTCAATGTTAATGTCCACTGTGACCTTGACCTTGGAGCCAGCCATGCGGAACATGCGTTCTGCACGTCATCTTGATGTGGTAAACATTTGTTCTGAAGTTTCATGCAAAATTCTTCAAAGGGTTGAAGAGAGTTACAGAGAGCGGACAGGATTTTCAATGTTTAATGTCACTGTGACCTTGACCTTGGAGCCAGCCATGCGGAACATGCGTTCTGCACGTCATCTTGATGTGGTAAACATTTGTCTGAAGTTTCATCAAAATTCTTCAAAGGGTTGAAGAGTTACAGAGCGGACACAATTTCGTTTGACGCCCGCCCATCCGCCCAGCCGCCCATCCGCCCATCCGCCCGCCATACCCCAATCTAATAACCAGGATTTTCAAAATTGAAAACCTGGTTAAAAATAGAAAAACATGACGCAATTACTAAAAATAGCAACAATGACGCAATTTCTAAAAATAGAAAAAATGACGCAATTTCTAAAAATAGAACAAAAATGACGCAATTTCTAAAAATAGCAACAATGACACAATTTCTAAAAATAGAAAAAATGACGCAACTTCTAAAAATAGGAAAAAATGACGCAAATTCTAAAAATAGAAACAATGACGCAATTTCTAAAAATAGAACAAAAATGACGAAATTTCTAAAAATAGAAACAAATGACGCAATTTCTAAAAATAGCAACAATGGCGCAATTTCTAAAAATAGAAAAAAAATGACGCAAACTCTAAAAATAGCAACAATGACGCAATTTCTAAAAATAGAAAAAAATGACTCAATTTCTAAAAATAGAAACAATGACGCAATTTCTAAAAATAGAAGAAAAAATTGACGCAATTTCTAAAAATAGAAAAACATGACGCAATTATATACATGTATATATATATATATTCTAAAATATATATTCTAGGAAATATATATATAAAATATATATATCTATATATATATATATATATATATATATATATATATATATATATATATATATATATATATATACACATGCATATATATATATATATTTATATATATATATATATATATATATACCTGCATATATGTATATATATACACACACACATTTATATATATATTTATATATAATACATATACTATACATACACACACACCGATAAATGCACAATCTGAGAAAATTCAGTAATATAAAACCTTCAAGGTCAAGGTCATTAAAGAGCCCAAGCAAAATTTGGGTTTGATAAACAACAAGGTCTGGTCCTTAAGAATGTTCTGTTATAATATGAAGTTTATCCCTTTCAAAAATAGCAAAGTTACAGTCAGTTACTGCCAAAAACAATGAAAATTTCAATAATTTGACCTTCAAAGGCAATGTCATTAATGAGTGAAGGTCAAGGTCTTTCGGTATATTTTTAACAGTTTATCTTTGAAGATTATTATGTTCAAGTTTGAAGAAGACAATCCATTCAAAAATAACAAAGTTACAGCCAATAATAGCCAAAAAAATGAAAATTTCAATAATTTGACCTTCAAAGTCAAGGTCATTGATGAGTGAATGTCAAGGTCTGACTGGTTATTTTTAAGGGATATCCTTGAAAGATTATTATGTTCAAGTTTGAAGACAATCCATTCAAAAATAACAAAGTAACAGCCAATAACAGCATGAACAAGCATAAATTGGACTTTTAACCTGAAGGTCAAGGTCATTTATGGATGAAGGTCAAGGTTTAGTGTGGTCTACTGAAAGGTCTTGTCCCAAGGGTTGTTGTGGCCAAGTATGAAGACAATACACCAAGAAATAAAAAAGTTATGATCCAGGTACAAGTTTTCGGACGGCAACGGCAACGCCGACCTGACTATAACAATACCTCTACTTTTTTTTTCAAAAAAAAAAAAGTCGAGCTAAAAATATGATATATTTTGAAAATAAAACAATAAATCAAATACCAGTATTGCTAGGAACCAGAGCAGTAGATGTTGATGGCCCTTCTTCTTGACTGGTTCCCTGTTTAACTCTCTCCATTCTGTTCTTATCCTCCTGTGGAATCAAATCAAACACTGAACCTGAAAGGTAAAAAAAATTCAACATAGACAAAAATCTTGTTACCACATTATATTAACCCTATCATGCTACCAGCCACAAAGGAAGACCCATGGCAGCAGTATATAGCCACACTAGCCTGCATATTTATACAGTCTGACGAGAATCTATCAAGGTGAATGCTCAATGTTGAAACAGCAATCACTTAAACTATTAATAGACTGTTCAATACAGGACTTTGTCTAATGCACAAATTTTCAATGTATATTTCCGAAACTTTAAATTAATTTAGACTCTTTTAACAAGGATCTGGTTGAATCCTTATGAATTGATAAATCAAAACATGAGCAGTGCATTGAGCACCTCATGGGTTGTTCAGGCCAACAACTGTCAATAACCAATTTTACAACAACAAAAAAAGCTTAAAAAGGGGCATAACTCCAAAAATATAAGTTTCAGAATTATGCCCTTTGTCTA